CAAAGCCCGCACCGACCTCACCCCGGCCGCCCCCTCAGGCCCGGTCCCCGGCCCAGCCCTGCCCCGGCGGACGGGGCCAGGCACACCCTTCCCCGGCCCCCAGGCCTCCGGGCGGGCACTGACTGAAGCAGACGAGGAGGCCGAGCCGCTGCTCCTCCTCCGCGCAGAGGTGCAGCGAGTCCCCCAGCACCGCCCAGCAACCGCGGCACTGGAACACGGCGCAGTCCTTCGGCAGCGGCCCCTGCCCCCGCGGTGGCGACGCCGGCGGCGACCGCAAGACCCATGAGGCGCCGTCGGGGGACGGCGGCTCCTCCACAGTGATGAGCCCGCCGCCGGGCTGCGCGTCCTGGAAGAGCTCCCTCAGCCGCGAGCGCAGCGCCATCTTCTCCCGCCCCTCGTTCGAGCGCGGCGCCCGCCTTCCCCCGCCTCACGGTTGGAGCGCGCTTCAGCAGACCCGCCTTGCCATTGGACAACGGGTGGGCGCGTCGACCCTCATCCCCCGAGGCTATTGGGAAGTGCGCCGCACCGAGTCTTTCCGTCGCCCAATCAATGAGGAGAAGGGCAGGGCTTTTCCCCCGCCGGCGGCCGCCTATCGCGTTTGAAAAAAAAAAAAAAAAGCACGCCCCGGGGGCCGCGCCGCCACTGGTGGTTTCCGTGCCCGCTCCAGGCTCCACCCCTTTGCCTCGTCCAGCCAATGGCCTGGCGCGGCGAGCGCGTTCGAACGGCGGGGGCGGGGCCCGCCCGCGCCGCGTCGGTTGAGCGCGAGATTCGAAGTGCGGCGGTTGGCGGCGGTGAGGCGTCGGCGCCATGGCGCTCTCTTCCCTCCAGCAGCTGGAATCGCTGAAATACGTCGAGCTCCAGCGGATCGCAAAGGCCGCCGGCCTGAAGGCCAACCTCCGGGTGAGGCGGGGGCAGCTGCCGCGGCTGGGAGGGAGCGGCGCCGGGGATCTCGGGTGAGGGAAGCTCCCGGTTTCCCCGCCCGCCCGTTCTCTGAAGAGCGGCCTCGGCTCTGGCGTTCCCCCCTCTGCCCGGCCGGGAGCTGAGGGGGAGCGGGTGTCGCGTAGGGAACGGGTCCGTCCTGTCCCCCCGTAACACCTTCGTGACGGGAATACGCTCAAAGAAACGAGCTGATGACGCGGGGCTCCGTTTTACCGGAGGCACCGAGAAGGGGAGGGCGCGGGGCCGCCCCACGCTGCACCCCCGGGGTGCTCAGCGCCGCCGTGTCCGCGACGGGTTACCGCGCTGTTGTTGTGGGTAGCTGTGGTTTGGGTTTTGGGTTCGTTTGGAGTGTTTTGGTGGGTGGGTGGGGTTTTTTACGAGTCTGAGTCGGAAGAATAATAACAATAGGGTGTCTTAAGGGAAGGGAGTGCCTGTGTTTGTTTACCAGCCGTGCGTGGTTAAGAACGAGAAATAAGCATGCACCCATCTCTTTTGCCTTGAGCTACAGATTTGTGACAGTGGCCTGATCTCTCCTGGTAGGCACTGCCAGTGAACCACTCGGCAGCAGTCAGGCTGCTGCACTGTCAGTGGGAGAAACCTTAAAGCCTTAAAAGAAAGAAGATCCACGACTTAAGTGGACAAAGGAAGTCGCTGTCCTGACAGGGCCAATAAGACTTCTGCTTGGGGTTTTAGTCCTAGGTTATTCTGTTCTTAAACTTCTAGTCCAGGTTTGATTTTATGCTGACCTTTCCAATTAGGTATTTAAGAGTCTTTCATAGCCTAAAGTATCAATGATGTAATTTTGTTGCTGTTATTTTATTGCTATTACTGTTGAATATATGCCAGGGATGAGAAGAATGCTTTGTATGTAGTATGGCCAAGACAGAAGTTATTGCAGAAATTTGATACAATTTTAATTCATGTTCAGCTATGCAGTGCTGTTAGAAACAGTCAGTCTCATTCATCCTTGAGAACAGACAGACCGGAAGAAAACTAGTCGGGGAAATTTGTGCCTCTGTGGGGACTATGCTATGTATTTATCTGCAGCCTTAAGCACTTTCTCTAATTTAACTGACTTGCATGAAGCTCTAGGCATGCCTTGTTCCATCGGATTCAGGAAACATTCCGCTTGTTTGTTGGATCAGTTTATAGGACACTAGCTGTGTTTATGCAGTTTTTTGTTTGATGACTTAATGCAATATTTGCTTCATATGTTGTTTTGATTTCTCTCCAGGCAGACAAATTGTTGAAAGCACTGAAGCAACACTTTCATGGAACAAAACAAGAAAATGAAAATATGGTAATAGATGATAAATCAGCTATTCTTTTTAAGAGAGATAGACCTAACTTTGTAACCAGTAGAGCAGGGCATGTACTGAAGGTTGGTTTTTTACCATGACGTGAACTGTAATAAAAATACTTTTTCCTTAATAGAGCCTTTAGTTTAATGCACTCATGTACTGATAGAAACAGAAGTGCTAATATTAGCTTTGAAGTGGCCTCCTATATGACCCAAAGCTGATTTCCTTTTGGCTGCCAAAATTAACAATGTATTTTTCAGCATCAGTACAAAATTATTCTCTGTGAACACTAACAATTAATTTCCATTGAACAAATCTTAATTCTTGCCTGTTTAGCTCCAGACGCTACTCAGTACCAAATATAAAAATATTTTATTCATTTTCCATGCCTGGATGGAAGGGACTAGACGCTCATCAGAAAGCTTTTTACATCTACTAAAATTTACTTACACTGATACTATAATGAAAGTGTCACAATTGTGATGTTTCCTTTATTCATCTCTTAATGTGTTGTTTTCTTAACTTTTAAAAAAAGTTTTCTCTTCTGTAAGCTGAACTGTTGGGTATGGTGATGCTTTTTACATTTTTGATAGAAAGTGAATTGGTATCTGCTTTTTCTAAAATATGTCTCCTTTTAAGTGCTTCCTTTAAAATCATCTTTAAAGGTTTGAGGAACTGGTCTAATCCTTTTCAGCTTATTTTTAATTTTAACAAGCGTGAAAGAGGCTCTGATTTTTTTTAATGAAGAGTATTCCACAGAAATGTACAAATCTGGGAGGGTCACAGCATCATGCAAGTCAGATTTCAAATATAGAGTATTAGGTTTTTATAATCTTATTAAAATGCTATATAGTAAAACAACTGTAGGACTTCTTTTTAAAGTCTTCAAACAATGAAGTTTAGGGAAATCTAGATATTGCCAGTTTCTGGATTACTATGCTACTAAATGGCATGCTTCTGTTTTTCCTCTGTGTGAAATACTTTTTTCAATAATAAAATTGAAACTGTCTCTTTGTAGTATCTAATTTATGTTTGTGTCAGATATGTTACACATAGTATTTTTCTGCTACAGGACTCTGAAAAAAGTGCATCTGCTTCCATCGAATCGGATGAACTGAGCAATCAGGAGAAAATCATGCCTGATTCAGTGTGTTTTATTACAAAAAGACGTGGTAAAAAGAAAATAACAAGAAAAAAGAGGAACTCCAATGACGAAATTAATACCAGCAGAGAAAATACAGGGCTTTCTGATGAGAAAGAGGTGATTTACATTGCTTGGTTTTGTGTGCTGGCCACCCCTCCTTCCCCAAGCATAACTTAAACACACTTGATTTTTTTTTTTTTTCCTACCACCATTTAGCAGGTGGTATACATTTTTATATATATATATCCATGTGTGTGTATAAGAATTTCATATGCAAACATTGTGGTACTGGTCTTCTCTTCTGTACTTCATAGCACTGATTTTCTCTATCTTGACTATGTGCTACTCCATAATGAACAGAGATTACTTGTTAGTCATTACTTCAAGGAAATAAATTAAATTCTTCTAAGGAATACACAATTCCAAACGCTTTATCTGAATGTAAGACTGCTTTCACTAGTTCATCATAGTATTCTGAATATTAGACTAGTTTCAGAATTTATCTAAAATAAGGCTGTTTTAACTTTCTTTATATAGAAAAATAAAACAGAAATTGGATGATTGCCTAAACCTCACAATTTTTTAATTCCCACTCCTCTCAGTGGGTTCTTTATTGATGGGTTTTATGACTGAGGGAGGGGAAGTTTCAAGGTGAGATAGGGGTAGAATTATTTTTCTCTAGAATTGCATACAAGTAGTGGGTGAACTAAGAACTGTGTGAAAGACTTTTACTGATTTAGACTTAGAGGAGGGAAATGAGAAAATGAGGAGTGTTAGTCTGTTAGTGTTAGAGAATTGTAGAGTAACCAAAGCTACAATAGTAAAAAGTAACATAGCCAGTGAATTTATTTTTACTTGCAAATAATTAACTTTTGTCAATAAAGGCAATTTTATACTAGAGCTGTGCAGGTGAAAGCTTTCTGATCCAGATCTGTTTGTGAAATAACAGGATAAGTATTTCACAGGTTAATTCAGGTTGGACTTCAGAAAGTCTCTTGCTCAATCTCCTAATCAAAGCACAGTCAACTATGAGGTTAGACCACAATGCTTAAGGTTTTATCTAATCTGGTGTTGAAAACCTCTAAGGATGGAGGCTACGCAACCTCTCTGGGTAACCTGTTCCACTGACTGACTGTTCTCAGAACAACAGCCTTTCTTTATATCCAGTTGGAACAAACTGTTTAAATGAACTATATTTAAACTGCAGGAGCATTCTGACATGAAAGAAAACGAAGTGCCTCGGGGTGAGCATGAAAAGGGACAGAAGGTATTCCAAAATAAGGAAAAAGTAACTAAAAAGACAGCTATTGAGAATCCGGGGATGGGTACTGGTCAGAAAGAACAACTAGAGAAGACTTCTACTAAAAGTAGTGGAGGTGAATGTAAGTAGAAAATTCCAAAAAAGTAAGTTTAATAATTTGTACTACTTAAAATGTGCCTTCTGGTTATTTTATTGTGTCTGCAAAGATTTTTGTGGCATGTCTGGTGATCAGTACCTTATTTGGAGATACCAGAAACAATCCATCTCATTTGAGTTTGTGTACTTGTTTGTTTAATATATTGTAACACAAATCCATGAATTCTGCAATGTAGGAATTCTGCTGGCTTTGACTTCGTAACTCTGGACCTGATGTTTTTAGTGAAGGAGTTCTCGAAGGTCTCAGTGTATTTGAGTCTTGCACCTCGTTTAGAATTAGTGCCTTTTGGAATACCCCTGAGATGTTACTTGGCTCCTTTAAAAAGTGGCAAGAAAGGGAGAGCTCGCTTCCTCGTGCTTCATTTTTCTTTTCCTGCAGATGAATAGGTGGTGTCATTTTCTTCCCAGGAGTAAAATTAGTAGAAAAGGACATACACACAGAATCCTTTATAATTTGTTTAAACTGCCTAGCAATATCTGAATGTATTAGAGTGGATCATTTTTCTATCTGGTGGCTTTTTTAGGCCTTCAAACACGATGCTGCTGAAAATATGAATTTCTCCCCTGGTCCTTTGTGCATGCAGCTGACACGAACAAATGAGTTTGCCCAATCTGATAATTTATTGATATTGTGGGTCTGTCAAATAAGATACCTACCATTATTTGCTCCTATTAGACTTAAGTGTATGTAGTCCTTGGGTTGTATTATGCACATTTTTGCTGTTCAACAGAATTTACAAGGACATTCTTATTGGAGGCTATCTATAATTTTGAAACTAATGTAGAAAATTAGGATCTTCAATTAAGTTTCTTTTAAAAACAGAATCAATAGAATATGTAGAGGATGCTTTAGTTGAGGCAGTATTCATGCTGACAGTTGGCACAGTACTCGTCTCTTCCTATAACTGTAATTATAAGTACCTGAAGTGCTTTCTGGTTTTTGGTTTGTTTTTCTTTTTTTCAGTAATTGCAGATAGCGAGAACTGTGTGACAAAAAAATACTATCTCTGCATTTATTGGTGAAAAGTTGATTTTTTCAACAATTATTTTCAACAACCCCCCATTATTTGCTTCCAGCGAGGATTTCTTTCAATATATTGAGGTCATCCAAGTTTACTTTAAAGCAGATGTGAATTAATAGAAAAGCAAATGTTTGCTTTCGATATGCAAATATTGAACTTGATGTGAAGTCTTTACCTGATTTTTTTGTAATAAAATTTAATCATGAAAATGTGAACATGAGCTTAATACTATACCCAAGAGCAGAGATGATAAAAAAACCTTAAACTCTGTATATGTATATAAGGCAGTGGGCAGAAAAGCTGGCCAAAAGGTATTTCTTCTTTGTTATCAACATTTAAAAAACACTAGCTTATTAAACAGATCAAGACCTATGAATTTAAAATTGTTTTGCTTACCGCAAGCGTAGTTTTTTGTTAAGTTCCCCTGTGAAATACTTTACTATCAAAAGATAATAACCTAGTGTGACTGTAAGATTCATGCTGGGCTTGTAGTTTGTCGAGACATGCTGTTACTGACATACCATTTAAAAGGCTTTTGAGAGACTTAGGACATATCTATTCCAGCTGATGTTTTTATTTCTCGAAACCTAAACCCACTTTGAGGAGATAAGGTGTGTTTTTGGAACAAATACTTTTAAAAAGATTGTGATGGCATTAAAATATTTTCCAGAAGTTCTAATGATTTTGCCTAATCTTACTGTACCAGGTGGTGCTCGTCATGCAGAAGGGAAGATCCCTTTATATGGAGGCTGTGCATCTAGGTCTGGGAAAACAGGAATGAAGGCTACTACACCAAGTAAGATAACTTACCATCTTTAGAAATAGACGTGTTGTCTGTGTGAAGGGAGACTTGACTTAGAGTTTTTTACAACTCAAATTTCTGTTTCTACTTGAAGAAGAGAACATTCACTCTTTGAAATGCAAGCAACCAAAAAAGTTCCCAAAAGTTACGTTTCAAGGTGTATCTTCCAACTTGTAGATTCATAGTAGTAAATGAGTCGCATGTGTGTTATAAAACTGGTTCTTTGAACACTTCATCTTCTGGTTATAATACTTGCATTCATGATTTTCAAAACAACAAAGGGTAGGAAGACATGCTATTACTCCTGCTTGTTTAGTTTTCACTTTATAAATACTGCTGTTGTGCCATATAACTATGTATTAACTCATTTTCATCACTTCGTAAAATACATTCATTCATTTAAAATTTGGAAGTATTTCTTTTTTTTCTTGAACTGCAGAATTTAGGGGTTGGACTAGGTGATCTTTAAAGGTCCCTTCCAACCCAAACCATCTGATGATTATATAATTCTCCAGAGCATGCACCAGGTAACTGGCCGTGTAGCTGGTGAAATAGATTCTATTTCATACTGTTTGGCTACCTGTGTATACAGTCTTTAATTAGAGGGACACGTTATATTTTCTTTGAGGCCATAATGATAGGTGTTGCAAGATTCTCCTATTAAGTAGTAAACTTCTTCAGCTGCTTATCAGAGATGTGACTCTTCTTATTTTTTGGAACTTCTTAGACTTCAAAAAGTTGCACGAGGCTCACTTCAAGAAAATGGAATCTATTGCTGACTACCTTGAGAGGAAAAAAAAAATTATTGAAAACTGCAGCAGTTCTCTCAACGAAGTCAAGGTAAAGGGTAACATAGGAAGATATCCATTGTTCCCGAATTCATTTATTTCTAGAGCCTCTCTGTAAAAGTCCTGTAGGGTCTCTTTAGAGCAGTAAGTAGCTGGTGATGTGTACGTGCAATGGAATGTTATGATCACTGAAATTTAACTGCAGTCCTGCATAACTAGTTATATATAGTTATTTGTATACCACTTGTGTAGTTATATAAGTTTTTATATATTAACAGTACATGGTTATAGTTATAGGAACCAACAAATAACTTGTCAGTTTTGAGTAAAAATAATTACCTCACAATTACTTCTGTGAAGGATCTCCTGGAGCTTTTGTTTAAAACTGTTTGAATTGCTGCAGAACTTAACCAAGGGGATGGGTTATTTTTCAAAGACTGGGATTTAAATATCAAGTTCCTATTTTTGTGCCTTAGAGAACCATTGTCCAATGACTGGATATGACTCTCCTTTAAAATACATGCAACATATATTGTTCTCAGTGGCTCCCATTCTCAGTTCTTGTATTTCACACTTGCTTGGGTAAAAGCTGCTGATAGGGCCTCTTTCAGAGTGGCAGACCCTAGAAAAGTGACAGTAATGTATCAATGAATATATGAATGAATATGTCAATGGCCATACCAAGGCAGTAACACTGAAACTCCTGACCACTACACTTTTCTCTTCTATGGCATACGTTGTATCAATGTATACTTAAGACAAACTACTTTTGGCAGGTGCTAGCCAAAAAATCGAATCCTTTAAGAGCACCGGAAAAAGGCACTCCACATAACAATTCTAAGGTATGTGTTTTCAGATCAGTTTAATAATAATAGAATGACTTATATTTAAAATATGCTTTTAAAGAAAAAAGGGGAAAAACTGAAGAGACTATGCTTCTGATTCACTTTGTATTTTCCATTCCTCTTAGCTGCTTTTCTGATAATTTTTTTTTAGCAGTGTGCTAATTCATTACTTGCTTTTCCCTAGAAACAAACCAGTGGCAAAACATTTTTATTCAGCCCAAATTCAGAAAGAGGCAGATTCTCCGCCACCTGCACTCCTAATAACCTCCGGCGCTCACCACGCAGTTGTCTGAACGCTGCCAATCGGAGTATTTTATCTAGGAAATCTTCACTTAATCCTGTCCTTTCAACAACCAAAATGAATGTCAGGTAAAAAGACAAACTGAAACTACCAGTGAGCAATTGGGTGTGATACATGTGAAATAATCAACACTGACTGAGTTGACTATTTATATTCCAAGCATGAACTACATGAGACTAATTCTGATTACTAACTTTCAGCCTAGCTTTATGGTTGATTTAAGCCTTACTGTGCTGTAACTATCTTGATTCTTCATTTTGATGTCTCATGGTGGAGGAATCTTGCATCTCTTTCAGCTTTCATGTCACTAAACCAACCAAGCCACATTATTTTTCTTCTCTTACTGTTAGGTTTTCCATTTTGTCAGGCAACCTAATAGTCTCTGTTATACCTGAAATAATTTATCTTGAGATTACTTAACCAGAACTCTGCAGTATTCCAGGTGAGTCTCACAATGGACTCATCATTTGTGGTTTTTTGGGGTACTCTTTTCCCACCCCCACCTCCCTGCCGATGTCACAGCAGGGGCTCATCTTGTGATTGATTACTATAAGCAGATTGTTTCTTGCAGATGGGAATCAAGTTGACCACTAGAAAGTCATGAGGAGCTGCTATATGAATGAGCTCATACTCAATGCTATTAAATTTCATCTAATTTCCTTTTAAAACATCATGCACACTTCATTATTCCTACACAGTAATCTAATTCTCTATTATGTTAATATTTCATGAACTTTTGTTATTGGTAAATTTTACCAGCTTATTACTAATTTTTCTAAAGTCTTGAACAAAAACCATTTTAAAAGAGGGAATCGGAAGGACAGTCTGTACGGTACTCCACTGATGAATGCCCTTTCGCCTGGTTTTCTTTTCAGTAAAAATCCTTGTCTCTACTGTTTCTTTGTTGGTTTTCTAACTATTGTGCTAATTCTAACTTTATTCAGTTTACTAAACTTTCCACAGTGACTGAAGTTCAGATTTAGACATTGTATAATTTACCCTTACCCTTTTCCCCCTGCTAACGATACCCAGTTAATCTCAGGTCTTGGTTGTGTTACTTCCCATTTCTCTGATAACCTTCTTTTCTCAACTTTTGCATGCCAAGATTATAGCTGCTGAAACTTTTTTGTCCCTGAATAAAGCGTGTGTGGGATTGTTATTATTAAGTCAGATAGTGCGACTTCTAATATTGACATCTCCTAATAAATAATTATGGGACTTTTCAATGCAGTTCTTCTGCTATTCAAAGGTCAGGAATACAGGTTCCTTGTAAAATCAAGCTCATAATCTTACTGGCTTTGTTTCTACATTAAATATGCTATCTTTGATCTCAATAGATAACAACGAATGAAAACAATATTCATTCTGCCTCTGGTGTCCTATTGGATAATCTTTACTGTCTTCACTGCAGCCCTACTTCATTCTTAGCAATACATAAAACAGAACAACACTTCTAGAATTTGCTTCCATTCCATTTGTCCAAAGATGTGCTGAGGTGGATCTTGCAAGCTGCACTTCATCCATAAACTTGCTAGCCTGCAAAATACTGCTTTCTTCAACACTTACTCACTGTCTTTCCGTATCTTGCAGGCTTTCAGCTTGTTCTCTACCTTTTTGATAAGGGTATTACTTTGTGCAAGATTTCGAATTTTCTTTCATTATAGATATACGCACATTTTTAATGTGTGTATACATGTGTATATATATACACATATACATACAGCACGTGTGTCTTGAATATGCAGGTAACTTGTGTGTTTTGACTAAAATTTCCAGCTTCTTCCTCTTGTAGATCTTTGTGTTCTAGAGTTCTGTTAGTTAATTTTCTTTCAGTTTTTCTTAATTTCAATTTTAAAATTAACAATATTTATATACAATGTTTTACTACAGAATCCAAATCTAAAGTAAATTATATCAGTTGATGAAGAAATCAACTGGCTTGTTGCATCCAAATATATTTTGTTCTCCATAATAATAAGAAAGTCAGTCCTTTGTAATTCCTAGTATTACTTGCTGCTATTGATGATGGCTCATAACTTGAAAATTGCCAGCAAAGGTATTTTTAGTGCAGTTTATACATAAGCTGTGAACATCTTATACACAGTAAAACTTTGTACCTGTAAGAAAAGTAGAACACAGAACCTTCTGTATTCTGCTGCATTACATTCCTTGTAAATGACTAACTCTGTCTTCATATTTCTAATAATTTTCAGGTTCTCGGAAGCCACAAAAGATAATGAGCATAAACGCTCTCTTACCAAGACTCCATCTAGAATGTCTCCATACTTGGAGATCTGCACACCTGAGAACCAAAAGAGCTGCAACCTAATGAGTCATAATAACAGCAAGGGAAATGCAAGAAATAATGATCTGACTGCATCAAAGGGTAAAGTGGATGGTAAATATGTGGCTTTTTTCACATCAAGACTCATTTTATTGAATCGTTATATAATTTTTTTATAACCTAATGTCATATAGACCCAGGTTTTAATTTCATTCTCTAATTAATGACTGATTCTTTAGAAACTGCAGTAGTTTCTTTGTTTCCTTTTGCTTCCAGTGTTTTGACTAAAATGGTTAGGTGCTAAGACTTAAATATATGGTACCTAGCTACCTACAGAAAAGAGGATAGAAAATCTTCTAGACCTTTAGGGAGTATGTAGCAAAAGATTCATATAACAGGTACAGGGAGATCCTGTCTGCAGTGAGAGGAGTTCTGATGTCCTCTCAGAGGTCTCATTCTCCTTGCTGGATTGGCATGCACCAGGCTTCTAGGACAACCTGTTATTATCAGCCTCAGCAACCCTGATTAACTTGGGAACTAAAACTCTGTGAGAAGCAGCAGAAGTCTTCTGATTACTAATGATCTCTACACCAGCACAGCTCTACGTTATCGCAGGTCAAGAACCCAGAGTTGCCTGTCTTGTTGTATGACAATATTGATGGTTTTTAGGGGGAAAGAAAAGTTCCACTACTGATCTGAAGCTGGTGTGTTCTGGAAGAATGTTTCTTTTTTTGATGAGAAAATTTACTTGGTTCCAACTAAGCATAGAGACAAGGAAACACGATTTGCTCTGAAGAACTAGAAAAATACATGGAGTTATATATGCTATTGCATAGCATAATCAGAGCAAAAGGGCTGATACTCTACAACTCTTGCTCTCTCCAGACCTGAAAGCTCCCTATTTCAAGTGAGCTGTGTTCGTGCAATTCTGTCTGTAGAGGTAGCAGATGGTAGCATTTAATGGCTCTTTGGTCTTGATAGTTGTATGGTGGTCTTCGCAGGCACTTCCCAACTTGCTTTGTGCAGTGATGTTTTTGCTGCTATAATGAAGTATGATATCTTGATGCCTTTTGTAGTTATCACCCCCTTCAAGTTTGCAGCTCACGCTGCAGAACCCACAAGCACAAAGAAGACGTTTGACCTCAAAGCAAGTCTCTCAAGGCCCCTTCGGTATCAGCCACACAAAGGTACTGTGATCCTGTGCAGTCGGTGTTGGTCATGCCCCTTTGCACTCAACTGCTCATGAAGTAAGGCATTGATACAAACCATGATAGCGAAGTTTTCAGCCTCTTTTCCTGTCCCTTTCCCTTTCTCTCTGGATTCCCACAGTCTGTGGAGTGACTGATTGTTAAATTTCTGTATGATATATGCTTTAAGAGCCTCCCTACTGAAGAATAAATCTTTATGACCAAAAGCCCATAATATAATAATAAACATCCCTGTATTCCACTGAATAGATGTATGTACAGGAAATATGAGATATTCCTTACACAGTGAGGGTTGGTTTTATTTTCTTTAAAAAGTGCACTGTTGTGTGAGAAGCTGAACTTTGTGTGGTCAGTGTTACTTATGAGTACAGTCACCTGTTACTACTTATAGAAAAACTACTTTTTGGGAATGGGCTGGTGAAACTGGTAATACAGCTGAAGAGGCATTTTACCTTAAAGTCAACCAGCAAACCCGGGCTAGCTAGTATAAAATTCGTGAAAAGAAGTTAAGCACACAATTACTAAACTAGTAATTCAATAGTCTCTCTTTTTGCCCCTAAATTGTAGGACGACTAAAGCCTTGGGGAGAATGTAAAGAAAATACTGTCCCAAATAAGTCTGCTGGTAGCAACATCTCTGCATGTAAGAAAGGTTACAAACAGCCGCACCTCCAGACAAGGTTAGTACACCACTAGCTTTTTATGAATAGTGTTATTTAAAATAATATGATGACTCATTTGTCTTTTTAGGATTTAAATAGGCAGTTCAGGAAAGAATACTTGAATATAAAAGCAATTTTTGCCTCCAGTAGTCTGTCTAGTATCAGGAAGGTCAACAAAGAGGGCAGCTCTGAATCCGATAGACTTTTATTCTGTGAAAGCTATCAGTTCTAGCGTTTGGAGACTTACCTTCACCTTGGAAGAAGCTGTGAATATTGACATGTTGCTACCTTGAATGTTAGACCTGTATGTCTAAGCGGAAGTATTTGCCTGAATGTTTGGATTCAGTCCAAAATGGTACTGTTTTCTCTGCCCATGGCAAATGCAGCACACCGATTAAACAGATGTTAAGCCTTGGTCAGCTTCGGATTCCTTTGGTTGCTTGTGTATCTACCTTTAATATAACTTGATATGGTCTGTGTCTCTTCTTTTTCCCCTTCAGGGAAGAAAGGCGTGAGAAACATGAGCAAGAGAGAAAAAAGAAAAAGGCTCAGGCTCTCGGAAACCGTAGAGGACTATCTGTGGATTAGGAGGAATAAGAAATATCTAAGAAATCACTGTAAATATTGTTCCTGTCTTGTAAATATTTGTGCTGTCTGTGTATGGTTCAGGTTGCTATTAGCTAGTGGAATCCGGAGAGCATTGAATGAGACCTTACGATGCATCTGAGTGTAATGTTTTAGTGATCAACTTCCCTGATGAGATGAGTTCAGAACTTTGAGGAGCTTAGAACTATCTCTAGTTGCTTATTAGTGTTTTCATTTAACTAACTCATTTAACTAAACGACGTTAAAGGAGAAAATGTAAGTGGAAAAACAATGCTCAAGAAGCCTCCTTGCAACTTAGGACAGACTTCTCCATCAGAATGCATTTGTTACCCACTAGGATGGACACTCCAGATAGCAAGCTTCAAAATGTTCCACGGGTAAATTGCAGGAGTTGGAGATGTCTGCTTGCCCTGTTCTCCAGATCAGTCCTTATTCTGTAACAACAGTTGCAGCACTTATTCAGCATTTCTAATTGCATGCCTATGAAGTAGCAGGGAAGTTCCAAGAGAAGAAAAAATACACAAGCTCTCTGGAAAACTAAAAGCATACAGCAAAATATAACTGTAAAATACCGTATTTTTAAAAATTCACAACTGAAAAGTGGCTTTACAAATTGCCAGCTGGATGCTTTGAACAGTTAGGGTTGTTTTGTTCCTTTCTATGGTAAATAGCAGATGTTAACAAAATTCTTATGCTTTTCATATCTATGATGCTTAAAAGAGGTTACAGTAGTGTTGAGGCACATTCAATACCTTAGATTTAAAACCTGTTATTGTTACTTTAAAAAATACGCAGAAAATCTTTCTGGATTTATTATGGATGGAGCTGGAAAGGTAATTTAGCAGTTGTAATCTCAGCTAGAATTTTGAGCAGATAATTGTTCCAGTGGATTTAGTGTCCTATCAAATATATGCATTTATATCAAGTGTCAAGAACAAGCAATTTTTTATAAACTTAATGGGGGAAATAATAAATACTTTGTATATACCCTGTTTATCACTGGTTATCTCATCTAGTGTACTATGTATAACTACATCCTTAGCATAGCACTAGTTTTGCTCACACTTGTATTTACTACTGTGTCTTTTTTTGTGACTAGCTTTCCTTGCCGACTAGCCTGCCTACGGCTTTATGAAAGCATGTTTGTTCTGGTATCTTTAGAAACGATAACCACCCTCTTTTGCTCTTAAGCTATTCAGTTCTGTGCAAGAGGAAAATGATAGTACAAGGCACTGCTTCAGCTTGCTTTATTGTGGCCTCTTCCATATAAAATACAGGAACATTTATTATTTGCAAAGCACACTTAAACAAGGTCACTGCAGTGGAGGTCAGTGCTTTGATTAGACTAAGTTTGTGACAGCTGAAATGAAACCATTCAGCACTTGTTCTTTAAAGTGTTTCTTAAATTACCAAAAAATAGACTTCTCGGAAAAAGGGAGGTATTGAGCTTCTATGCCACCAGCTGAGGCTGTGACTTCTTCCAGTACAGCTGAGTTAAGCTAACTGCACACAGCAGAAGTGTGATCTGATCTGCCCTGGAATGGTGCTGATTAAGCTGAGCTGTGCCTCCTCAGGGAGCAGACAGCAATGGGGGTTTCCCCCCAACCCACCCTTGGAGCTTTACTACTTCTGTTCAACACCCTTGGCTCCATAAAGCTGTAGGACTATCATCAACAGCTCTAAACTAAAAGCCAAGCCCGCTGCATAGCTACTGTTTCAATCTTGGCAGCGGCAGCTTTTTCTTTTTTTAGTTTTTCAGAGGAGCCAAAGCTAAAGGTTGAAATACTTCTGCCTTTTCCACTTCTGGTGCTGCTCTGTGTAAATTTCAGCAGCTGAGTCACACTTAAGCACCATTCCTCAGGGTATTAATTCTCATTATGCTTTTTCCAGTTTAAAACTAGCAGATGCGAGTGTTCTACAACTGCCTACAAACCATATAATGTAGAAAATGAAATTGTTGTACAAAAAAGAACTACAACAAGCTCGTGAAATACTTTTATTTCTGTAAAGGTCAGGACAGAAGCCAACATTAAGCCAGTCACCAGTTACTACTTTGTAAGAGCGCATCCCAACTCTCCTCAGGCTGTGTTCCAGTCCATGTATGTACAGTCTCTCCAGGATTCTCTATTTGGCAGCTCGAAGATGCCAGCGGTGTCACTCTAGTCAGATTACTACAGCCAACGCTTCATGCACTTATCTCTTTAATGTTTACGTGGAATCTTCAAGTTGCTTTAAGCTACACATTAAGAAGTGTTGTAAAAGTGAACCAACTATATGAAGACTGTCCCAAAAGATACCACCCCAACTTAGACCTTTTCATATGTTTCATAGGCAAATTCTTCTGTATGAGCTCTATCGTTCAGCAGGCCAATAAAATCAATCTCCAGCTGGAATGGACCATCTACTTTATCTCCAATGGTGAATCCAAGGGTACTAATCTAATTAAAAGATACATACATTAGAACAGTATTTCTATAATGTTATAATCAACCACAATTGTATCTACCAGTTCCATATTTTACAAACAGTTCATGGCAATCTACTTTAAACTGGTATTTGTTCAAAATACAGCAGCATTTCTTAAGGCTCGAACATTTCAATACCACATTTTCAATACAGACCCCGGTGGGAAACTCCTTCACATTTGCCTTTCTACCACTGTGTTGAACCCGTTATTAAAAATGCCCTGAGCCTAAAGCAACACTGCAATTTGTATCCTTCGAGGTCTGCGTATGGCCAGTTTCATCACAACTGGGTGTACAAACACGTTTTCATAGTCTCTTGTGAGCAGGAAACACAAACAGAATGTAATTAAGGACGGAGGAGAACTTTCATTCTAGATCAAGTCATACACCTCATATAGCGCGGAAGTGCACCAAACCAGACATTTTTAAATGCATGAAACTTTGTTACCAAGTTTTACATTAAGGCAAGGGTCCTAGCCACTGCTTCCCAATTAGAATAGTGTTCTTAAATACAAGAACTCTCCTTATTCCTTTCCCCTAATGTTCACCCCACCACTATTCCAATTTAAAAATAAATAAATTTATTCTAACTGTAATAAATTCCATGAAAATGTTGGGGGCTCAGGCATGTTTCCTATTAGCCTGTGGCTTGCCTGAAAGCACTCTCAGCTCTTACGTGTCACTAATCACCTCTTGGAGACTCCAGTGTCAGCAGTTCTCAGAACAAGCTGGGTCACCAGCGGCAGGCCACCTATTAAACTCCAGCTGCTGCAAGCGCAGGTCTGAGCTGCACCCATGATTTTAAGGACTGCTGTACATGCAGGAAAACAATGCCTAGGATGCGTCAAATGAATAATTGTAGGCTGAGGCTAAAAATATATTGCAAATGTACACTAAATAAATAATAGAACAAAGCTAAAGAAATTAAATGCACCAACGCTCCTCTCAAATCATTCTAATGTTTTAAATGCCATCTCTTCCCCAGAAGCCAGCTCTACAATCAGCCCCTTGGCTTGTGGAGCCTGGAGAGTTTTTAAGGTTCCATCTTCCTGGTTCATACTGTTACAGGTGACTACGGGAATCACCTAAACTCTCTGCTCTGAAGAATCTATTTCTTGGCAAGACCTAGATACATTGGCTGTTTCCTAACTTTTTTATTCCTGTTTAACAAGGCCTTTCCTGGTTCCTGGGAAAACACATAGTAGTACCATGAGGGATCAAGACATTTTGTCAAGATTTCTTCAATTGCCTTCATGCCACTTCCCCTATTTTTAGGTTTCTTTAAAATACATATGTAAAATTACACTTCATATTATATGCAAATGCATTGTTTCCACTGTGAAATACTAAGCATAAGATAACAAGGAATGAAAATTTAGTGGAGGATGCTTAGATCAAGTACTGGTTTGTCCCTTTAACTCCTGGTAAATATTTTCAAACACCCCATATACAACTTTATGTTTTCATTTACAATTTTGAATGACTGTATTCTAAATCCTGATAAATTCTTCAGCATCTGTATTTAAACATAGGCCTTTTATAACAACTTTCTTCCATAAAGCATATCTTTTCTTGTAGTTGATCCACCTTCTTCATATCATTCATACTTGCTTTCTACAGCCTCAACTTCTGCTTTTAAACAGATTGTTTTCATGCTGCCAATCACTGAATTGCCCTCAAATATTTCCTAATTTTTTTTTTTTTTCATTACGGCAGTTAGGAACTGAATGCAACATTCCAGGTGACTAACACTGATTAAAATAATGGGCCTTTTATTTTCTCCCCACATATATTTCTAACACTGTTTTCCTTTTGGTACTCACTGGGTACTAAGCTGCCCTTAATTACATATAGGAGGGTCACTGAAATTTAAAAGAAAAAAAAGATACAGGAACAATTTTTTCCAACATGTCTCCTCGTGTGAATCAGTGAATTAGTCTACCTACTTGCAGAAATAAAATAAAAAATACTCAACACGTTTACTTAATACTTAAGACTTTCTAGCCTGAAAAAAAAATAAAAAAGAGCCTATAAATACATCAGTTTACTGCTTACCATCAAGGTCACTGATACACTACATCCTCAAACAAAATCTCACAACATGATATCCCTGACAGTCTTCTGTCAGGAAGAAAGTTTATGATACTTTTATTATTTTTGGCAGTACTGTGTCAACTGGCATTTTAGATTTCTTAGTCACTTTGATCATTCCTCAACAAAAAGAAAAAAAAAAACCCAAAAAAATCCTTTTTGTTTTTTTGAAAAGCCAAGTGAGTTTTGAGTTGTTTCTTGGTTATACAGACCTCTTAAAAATATTTTTGGAGCTCCTTTGAAATAAACTGACACTGCTATCACAAAGTAGGATAATTTAAATGCAAAGATAAGCACACAAGAATAAGTACCTTATAACAAGAAGAGGCCCTTCAATTTCAAATTCACAAACATTAACGGATTTGTAAATTACATCATGACAATACAATCTTAAAGGAAATTTCAGACAGATAAAGCCTATAGAAAACTTGCCTTGTCTAACCAGACAGGATGTTGCTGATCCTGGACTCTTCCCCGACTGGAGAGAAAGAATTTGGAGAATGGAATCTGAAAGAAACAAAACAAAGCCAAACCAGACTTTAGTGTCACCAGTACCTAACATAAAAACTTAAGGAAAAAAAAAAAAGCCTGCCTTAGTAAATGAAATGACACTGCTACATCTGGTACCAGCATTAGCTGGGTGCATAGAACTGGCATAGAGAAATGGGCCACATTAACCCTTTCATTGACCACTCGCAGCCAGCTCCAGGCCCACACTGCTCTGTGGTGGCCATTTGTAGCCATCGTGCAGGTCTGTTACCCTGTTAGGACACAACGAGAGGCTGCAGCACAGAAGGTGGCTGTTTACATCGAGAACATCTCCTTCCAATAACATGTCAACATAAAAAAAGAAATTAATGAAAGGTCTAGCATGCATGTATATCAACAGCTCAGCTGTACCCAAGCTGTGTATTTCATAGTGCAAACTTCATACCAAGGCAGCAGTACTCTATAAAAGCCATTCAGAATAATGTAAAAATGACTTTGAATGCAGTGGGAGCAACGAAGAGGAGGGGCTGTGGTAAGAGGTAGAAAACAGGAGGGTTGGCTGGTGAGGGTGAAAGGAAAACATGCAAACCAGCAACAACACACCGATATTCATCCTCCTGACTCCTCACCTGTGAAACAGTGAGCTGTTCTTGCATGATTGGACAATGGTATTGTGAAGCTCTCGATGCCAATTCATAAGGATTTGCAAACCTCCTTAACATTGGCATCAGCAAATTACAAAAGTTCCCCAAGTTTCATCAGGAAAGAGCCAAAACTCCCACTTCTTACAAATATTACTGTGTCACAGGTTCGAAGGCCATAAATGACAAACCACACCTCTGAATCTCCAACTGGCTCCAGCGAGTCAGCAGGTTAAGCAAATCCTGTCACAGGGTACAAATCCTACACCAGCCTAGGTCCATTTGTATTCCAGATGGTTATCACAGAGAATATTCCCGGCAACACCTGCTAAGCTTCAATCCCTGTTCCTATTCTATTACTCCAGTAATAGCTAACATCAGGTGTTTACGTGAATGTATAGTGGATCAAATCTTTAATACAACTGACACAGCGTGCCCTCCCACAATCCAGTGATTTACAGTTTTGGAATTCCCAAGCCAAAGGCACAAGTCTGTTGTATAAGGATACATAACAGAAACACTGTTGAATGGACAGCAATAGCAACAAACTGTGACTGTTGAAAGAATTCCCCTTCCACAGAGCTATGGCCCGGACCCCCAAGACAGTCTCATTAGTTTGAAAGACTCATTAGTTCACCTTTATTTCCTCCCAATATGGGCCTCCTCGGGTGAACATGAAGTAGCTGTAGAGGTCATCCTTTTGATGAGAGAAGTAAGGGTCTGTATAAATGTTTACCATCCAAGGTCTGCCATCGCCACGGACACGTAAATACAGACTGTTGAAGTTTGACCAGTCGTAATACTTCTTCCTAGCAAAAGATCCCTACAAATTATTAAAAAATAAGAATTATTACTCCTTAATAGAGGGAAACTTCCATTATGAAGAACAGAGCACTATTGCTTTGATCACTGTCCTCATTATTATGTCAAATAATATTTACTGTGACATACTGAAAACTGGGTTACTCATTCATCATACTAGCTGCTGATTGCACTGAATTTCCTTCAGCACTGTATCAGAGCCCACAAATTGCAGTATTACCACTCTGAGGACTCATGCTTTAATTATAAACCGCAATCTTGTAACTATCAGAAATCAGACCTGCTTCCTAGGACCAAATTCCTACCAGGCAAGTACACAAACACTGTAGTGATGGATCACTAGTTATGTAGTTCATTAAGTTTAATATTCTGTGGTCAGTACTAGATTATGCAGAGGCAATTACAAGAAATAGAAGAAGTGGGATAATTTATTCCCTGTGGTAACTTTCCTTACTGAAGACTGACGTAAGCACTGGAAGCATTTAATGTTTCCCAACACTTTTTGTCATTAACTGTGCATAATTATATGGATTGCAAGCATGTCTAATTCTCAACTGCATTTTTTCCCAAGATCTTAAAAGTCCCGGTGTTGTGATTTGCACACAGGCAGATCCAAGAGTCTACACAGAGTTACACTGAGGTCACTTGGAGCGATGAGGCAGCAGGAGTCAGGGCCATTCTTGCCCAGGATTGCTTAAACCAAGTCAAAATTAGCACCAAAAATTCAGAGGTTTCCCCTTTAATTTACAGCACTACTATGGTTACCTATCAACTGTCCTTCTACCAACTCATCGGTAATAAGATGAGTTGATCATCAATACATTAATACAAGGCGTATGACTACTTTATTTAATGGCTTTGCCAGTTTTGAGCCTTTTTACTTAAATAAAGAAAAGCCTTTGTATTTACATTTTCACCCTCTGATTTCAAACTGCATTATAAAGATGGACTGATGCACTCCAATACTTCAGAATTAGGAGATGAAAGTTTGAGTCACATTTGCACAAGTCAGTAGCAGTCCAGGAAATTTAACTCACACTGAGATTCAACTTGCTGTTCCGTTCCTCTGACGCAGTGCCACCATATTAATCAGTGTTCATCTGCCTCTCATCTGCCCATTGATTTTACTCATATTCTCTGCTCTCCAAGTTTCTGGCCCAGAAAAAATTTTACCTGTGTACTTGTGGCAAGCCACAAACAATAGAACTGACTAAAAAGCTAAGCATTTGATACACTGAGTCAAAATGTTCCTTTGCTTTTAAAGGTGCTTAAAAATAAGGGATGAAACAAGAAGTATCAATAATAAGAACATCCATTTCTGGTTCCATTTTGGTCAATTCCAAGCTATCGAAGATTTGTATCTTGCTTTTTCTGATGTACAGTAGGAGTCAGACTTTTAAAAAGTACTTTTCAAAGCATTATTTTCTGTTCCTGTGAGAAAAAAGATGAGCTCATTCCCCTAAACCAAGTCTGACGAATAGGCCAAGTTAAAGCCCAGAAAATTTGTCCTTATGACACATTCAATTAACTTCAAATTTAGAGACATAATCTATTTTAATCATATTAATTTGGGGTATAGAGGTTCATTACAGACCTTCGTTTGCAAGGAGGCTGAAAATAGGGCTGTCTTAATGAGTGGGTGCCCTATTGTACATAAGTAAATGATCAAACATATATTATTCCTCTTCTAAGACAGGAAAACAAAATCCAAGAAAAAGTTCCTTCCAGGTCAAAGGACACAGCAGCTATTACATCCCTGAAGGAATAGCTAGTACTCCTGAAAGTGATCAGTTTCAACCGCAGTAAACAACAGTCCACTTCTTGTCACGGGGTTTACATAAAAATGCTCTCCGATTAAGTAACAGAAGCTATGCAAACATGAAGCTGTACTTACCACTGGCGGTTTAGCTCTCATACTACAATATCCACTGTATTTCGTCTCCCCATCACGAGGCACTTCCGTATTGAGGGTTCCATACAGCAGAGCAGCCTGGTTATTCCTACCCAGTTTGAGGTAAACTTCACTTTTCCCTCCAATCTCTACATCAGAGGAAATAACCCATTTATTTAAATCTTCTTGGCTCCGAAACTCCCACAACACCTTTGTCTGTTCCAACAGGTACTGACTGAGTGGATAGCCTCCAGGTCCTATCAAGTAATCTTTGGTCTCCTCTTTCAGCATGCTTAGCTGAGTCTTTAAGACATTAATGCCCTTCTTAAAACTGAAATCAGTATTTTCCCAAGACGGTTTTTTCTCAGGCTGTGACCCTGGCCTCCTGTAGCTGCTATATAATTTTGATATGGAATCGTTGAGGAGAGGTCCAAGTAAGGGGTGCAAAACTTTGTGACTGCAGCATCTACCACATAAGTAAGCACTGTTCAGCAAAGTAACAGTCAGAGCCATATTGGTAAACTTGAATTCACTTCCAGCAAGGCAATTAATGGGTTTGAAATTAATTTAACAGCAAAACTAGTATCCAGAGCTATCTTACTTTAGTTACTGTAGTTTATCTCCACCTTTAATGAAAAAGAGAAGAGATTAAAAATATTACATATAGGATGTTTGTAAAACTGTTTCATTTTTAAAACAGATAATAGCTAGAAATCTAAGCCATCAGAAAAAGAAATAAAAAATAACATCAAGTATTACACTTCCTCAGAGTTCTAGTTTACTTAATGATTTCCACCCTATGTATTCCCCCCTCCCTGTGATGTGAAATACCCATGCAAATAAGAAAAACTAAGTAAAATACTTCAAATAAAACTGAAAATAGAAAAAAGCAATTCCTCTTCATCCCTTTCACTGTAAGTAAGTTTAGGTACTATGAGTAACACCAGCAAAAACAACCTCAAGAAGAAGGTTTCTAAAAGATGGCATCTATATAATTGTAAAGTATTATCCCTGCAAAAAAAAATCACTAATTCACAACAGGTAGACCCTGCTGCCATATGGACCAGAATGGCAGTCGCATCTGGCAGCCACAGCAGCCATACTACATACTTCTCCATAAATCATCCAGCACTTTGCCCCCCTCAACGTATCTTGTTTAGAATTACAGAGAGGTTTGCGAAGACCAAAGAACTTAACACGAGAGACTGCAATTCAATAGGTTTTTTTACAAAGCTTTGGAAAAATTCTGAAAACCTTCTGTTTGCTTCTGTCTACATCACTGTTGGTAGGAACAGCGATGCCACACTGCTATTCTTTAATTCATAAGGGAGAGCCTTAGTGTTCAATGCTCTGTACAAAGGCTATTCTCACTTACTCATAAAATTAGACAGACAAGTTGCCTGGGTTTTGGGGGGGGGGGGGGGGGGGGGGGGGGGGGGGGGGGGGGGTTGGTTTGTG